TAGTAATATCTTAGGTCTGATTCATCTCTCCTCGTGGTTCTAAGTCCTCTCCTGTCAACTATGCTCTCCTACTCCTTCCACAAGCTTCCTTCTCCTCCCCTCTGGACCAGGATGTCCCACCTTATTCTCTCCATTGCTCAGCATTGTGGCTGGTTGTTTTATTGACAATGTGGAGAACAAATGATGGCATATTTACACAAACTTGAGACGGTGATGCTTAGGATAAGCATCACAATGCAATGTCTGGACTGAAACCAGATAGTGAGGTAGAGAAATCAGCATTTGAATAAACAAGGGTAAATTGTGTGCATTCCACAAGAACATTATACTGTGAGGTCCGAAATTTAAAATGTGACTCTTGGGCCAACATGACTGAGGTCCTGGGTACAAGTTTAAACAAAGAAGAGGGCAAGTTGAGACAGACCCACTACAGAAAAGTAATCAGGCTTGCACTTGAGAGATACCAAAACCCACCCAGATAGCTATTGACGGAGGACACGTAGCCCAGATCCTAAGAATAACCACAAGATGTGCTAATCATTCCCCCTCCCTAACTGTAGCCAATCAGCACGTAACAGGGCATTTTGCTCATGAGCAGATACCCTACAAATGGCCAGGTCAAATCCATTACGGCCTTGGCGCCTAAAATAGACCAAGGCTTAGACCCCACCCTCCCGCTTTCGGTTTTGCCCTTTAAAAACCCTATTCAGGCTCCTCTATAGAGCCTCTCCTGGGTACTGAACATGAGTGACATGGATGTTTCCTGTCAAACAGTGTCTCAGAACAGAGCATGTCTTCCTCCCCAAGAGCTGTGGAGCTGTGGCATGTTCTTTCAGTCTTGCCGTGTACTTGAGAAATTGGGTAAAATGGCTCTCAGAGTGTAATCTGCCACCCCTCTTTTGTAGATTTAGTGTATATTTTGAAGCCATGAAAACTGGAAATTCACATTGAAATTGTTAGGTGTCATTGTGGGTATCAGCCCAGAGAAGCTGTATTAGCCCAAGAGAACAATGCCGAGGTGTGGGGTGCACGGCCACCCTCCCACTGTTTACTACGATTCAGTTCTATACAAGATAGAAACACAGACAATCATTACACTTCTAACATTTGGGATTGTGTTCCTTGACCTGGCTATAGAGTTTTACAACTTTAAAAACACAGTTAATATAAGAGAATGTGGTCCTGGAGACATGCTTAGTGAGCACATGCTGCTCTTCCAGAGGAACAAAGTTCTGTTCCCAGCACACATGTCAGGCTGCCCAACAGCTGCCTGGAACTACAGCTCCAGAACATTGAAAGCCTGTGGCCTCTCACTCACCTCCACAGAACCACATGCAGGCACACATGTACACACCTACCTTCAAAAACAATAAAAAAACAAACAAACCCAAATCATTAAAAAGAATTTAGTTGTTCTAAAATGAAACTTCTGCCTAGTATGGTGATGTTTACCTGTAATCCAAGCATTTGAGATGGTGAGGCATGATTATGTCTTTCCAGGCCAGCATGGGCAACGTAATGAGATCCTGTGTCAACACAACAACAAAAAACACTAGGGATAGTGCTCTGTGATTATGTAATTGCCAATAAGGCTGGAGGCCAGGGGTCCATCCCCAGCACCACAATAGCAAACAAACAAGTTGATGGCCACGTAAGACCTCATTATGTCAACAAAGTCAACTGAAACTTTCCGAAAAAAAAAATGTAGTGTGTGTGTGTGTGTGTGTGTGTGTGTGTGTGTGTGTGTGTGTGTACAAATGGAGAAGGATGGAGGAGACGTATCTGAGATAGAAACATGTTCGGGGGCTGAGAGGGCAGGGCACATTGGTTGAAACCCTAAGAACTGGCCAGGACCTCTCTGAGGGCTTGCTCTGGGGTCAGCTTCTCTGTTAGCTGGCAGGAGGGAGAACCAATGTCTGGGAAGCTAATCTGTGGCTTTCCTCAGGAGAGTGGCTGACCCACTGAGAATGCAAAGGATGGATATCTATGGGACTTGGCTGGCTTCTCCAGGAGTCACAGGGTCACTGCAAATATCAATAGATGTGGAAAGAGTATGTAGGAGCCTTAGTTGACTTTACGGGTATTACAAATGCATGTGATACACACACACACACACACACACACACACACACACACATATTATTACCACATTAAGGTAAAACTCATTCCTGCTAAGAAAAATGGCTCATCACAGAGAGATTTATTATGAGACACAATTAGCTATCTGTTTAAAGAGTATATGTCTTTCTCTGTTCGGCAGGGGCCTGGATTTCAGTGGAGGCCTGGATTTCAGAGGAGCCTTGAACTTGGCTTCCAGATGGAGAACAGGGATTCTGTTTCTCTCAGAGGCAGCTAGAGCACTTTAGACCAAAGCCCATGTGCTAAACCAGGGTGTAGAAAAGATTTTTCTGAGTGGTACAGTTTAGCTTTTTAAAAATGAAATGGCTGATGGCTGGGGAAAACTCCAGCATTCCAAAGCCTAGGGTTGAGTTGCTGTGCTGAGCAAAGCAGAGGTGCAGGCCAAAGCCCATGCCTGGTGGATTTGCAGCTGAGACCCAGGCCCAGAGGACTGGAGGGCAGGTCCAGTGAGATGCACGCCCAGGGGGCCTAAGGCAGGACTGAGGAGTGCTTTGCTTTGCTGGAGGTCAGCACCAATCTAGTAGCAATGGGGCAGGCTTCAGCGGTTGTTGCCTGGTGATGCTGTGCCTGGTGAACAGCAGAATGGTGGCCAGTAGCATGTGGCAGTATGAAGCACCTTCAAGCCCCAGGGGGTCCAGAAGCTGCGGCCACCCTGGGCAGGCAGCTGCCTGATTGGCAGTCAAGTTTGGGTGTCCAGCAGTGATTCTTCCCAGAATCAAAGGAGTCTCAGACGGTCTCAAGGTGAGAAAGCGGGTTAACAACTACATTTATTCTTGTGTGAAATCAAGGGCAATATAAACCTGGTCAGAGGGAGGGATTTTGAGGGGTGAATGTGTTTGATTCATTGGGGTCAGGGGGCAGGAATACTTGATTTGCATGTGCCCTATTTTCCACTCAGTAGAATAGTCCTATCACAAGAAGAATACAGTACTTAGTTATCCTGAGGGGGAGGGGAAATCTCCAAGGATAATTGAAGGTCACTGCTGAAGACTAAGATCTTTAGTGTGTGTGGGGGGGTAAGATCTAGGAATTCCCAGGTGCTTGTTACACCAGTTTCCTTATCAGGAGAGAGTTCAGTCTGTAATCTGCCATGAGGGCTATGTGCCACTCCTTACAAAGGCTGGAGTTACTCAGGTGGGATTGGGGGGGGGTTAGAACCTCACTGAGTAAAGGGAGTGTACCATCACAGACTGAATGCAAACAAATGGCTATCCGGAGACCTCAGACTTCGGCCTAATCCAGCAAACCCCTACAAGTATACAATTAATATTGTTTACTTGATAACTATCAGGCTCTGCTAACCTCATGCGCATGGAAAGCTTCAGGCTACAAGAAAGCTGCCACTCTAGTTGGGCAGGCATTTGGAATCATGACATAGCTGTCCTGGTGACTTCTTGGCCTCATGGGCCATCAGGGAGAGGCAGGAATTAGCTAGACAGAGCCAGAGACTGTCGCGACCGGCCTTTGCCGATAAGGACGACGCAACAACCGAGGATTTCTTCAGCGGCAAGTTTATTGTACAGCTCTTTCTTGCAGATGGTGAAGGACCCAGACCCCGGGTTGTGCTCTGCTTAAATAGCCAGCAGAGAGGCGTGTTCATCTGTAATTGGTGCTCCACACAATACCCAATTAACATGTGATCTCCCATTGGAGGATCACAGATCCTACATTAGCATAAGGCGGCGCATGCGCAAATCGCGAAGCAATGCTGACAAGAAGCGCGAAAATGCTGGCAAGAAGAACCAGGAAGCAGGAAGCCGGCGCCATCTTGTAATGGCGGGAGTGGCTCCCGACATCTCCCCCTTTTATATATATAAGAGGCCATCTCAATTAGAAAAATAACACACCATGAGGTTACCGATCAGCCTGCTGAGCCAAC